CCATATGACGCATGCACAGAATACGAGAATAAATAAATAAATAAATAAATAAATAAATAAATAAATAAATAAATAAATAAATAAATAAATAAATAAATAAATAAATAAATAAATAAATAAATAAATAAATAAATGGAGAACATTCTAGATGTTGTCGTTGTAAATAGAGAATTTGCAATACAGCCTTTTACAAAATGTTTGTTTTATTCGGTATAATAATACAAATATTGACCCTAGCCTTGGTCGATATACAAATTTGCAGAAATTAAGAATATACAATATTTGTAATATACAATTATACCTGAATTGTAAGTTTAAAATACTTAAATTACTTAATATGATACAATTCCATATCGATAACTTTCGAATAATAATGTTATATAAAAATATTATTAAGTAATACATATTTTTCATTGGAAATAATATACTTTGTGAATTTCAATCAGTTTTAATATTTTAGAACCAAATTTAGGTATCATGGAGATTAATGGTAGGTTTAACTTAGATAATCGTAATTTATGTCAATGAATGAAAGTGTTGAAAATCAGTTATTTCAATTTTTCCCTCTTAAAAATAACAAATTTGGTAATTTTTTAACGGGTTTCAGAAATTGTATGCCCAATTATAGTCTCAAAAGAACGTCCGTTTTAGAGCCATTACAATAACTAGACTCCAATTCCAATAAAATACATTTCTTAAGACAATTTGTATACAGTTTCAAATTTGACGAATTTTGTCAAATTTCATAATTTTTGTACCCACAATGTGGGCTTAATGAAAATCTACTCAGAATGGCTGGATTTCAGCTCAGTGTAATTTGAACTTGAAACCTCGTGGCCTGACACACAAACCAGTTAAATGCCTTTGTTATTTACAAAACCGAGGTAAAATATATATATTCTCACACAACATTGTATTCTCCACGAGAACATCTATGATAATCGGTATATATTGTATAAACGTTTTCGATAACAGTTGGTGAAAATAATATGTATGTAACGGGTATTAATCATGTCATGAATTAGTATGTTTTGTAAAATATGTTTTAAATTGTAATTTTTCTGAGCAAAAAATATCAATGAGTTGTGTGGCCTACAATACCTACAAACAAAGATGGTCCAATATCGCCACCGTTCGTGGCGATAGTCATCACGTGGTTTGCACGTGATACGGATCATTCATGTCATAGCCTTACAAGAAAATGAAGTATAAGGTTGCATTCACCAGACGTCTTCTGCTGTTGTTCATTTGTTTTAATGTCGTGCTTGGCAAAACTCCACAAGAATGGAAATCCCGCGTAGTGTATCAGGTGGGTTGTCGTGTATCCTAGTAGAAATGACATGTCCGTTGTGAGTTGTTTTATTGGTGCAAAAGAACACTTTCTATGACCCGGGTTCTGTCTAGAGCTTTGGAAATCTACATAATTAGTACATGTTTGCTGTCGTAACGAAAGGCAAATTAACGGTGTTTTTACTTCGCCCTTTCAGCATAGCCATATGTGAAATGGTTACAAGGCAATAACTGAAATCCGAGGTGCAGACATGCCGTTATACGTTGCCATGACATGTAATCACCTTATAATATTACTTTACGGATGTACCGTATGTTGGTGTCATAATCATTAGAGATCAAAGTTTGAATTACAATTGTTTCATAAAACATAAATCAATGTTGTCGTCCGCTTGGCACCGCTGAATTGTTTTGTAAACATCGCTGCTGTGAGATGCGATATGATTTTCTGTGAGGGTCAATAACTACTGACGCTAATTTGATTATTATTGTGTAAACTCACAAAACTTGTCATTATAAACAAAGGCATTATTTCTCGGGCAGACTACATTTAAAGTGATACAGTCAAATATATCCCATCGTCTGAATCACACGGTTTCGCTAAAGCTGGCCATTCATGACCGGACAACGAACCCGTGCGTGATCGTGTTAGGAAAAGCTGTATTTCACTGCAGTTAAATAGAGTCATTTGATTGGACGCGCCAAGGAGCTGGCGCCACCAATCAGCGTTGCTATATCATAAATGTGAACGTCTGGGATCATCACAGATTAAAACAATGGCGGCGTGTAGGCTTTACGCTAATTCACTGGGAGTCAAGAACAGAAGATGTATATTCGTTGACACGTTTCCAAAATGTTTTATTGCAACGTTGAAAATTGTTTGTAGACAAGTGAATGAAGACAATGGAATGTTTAAATATTTGTGAAAACCCTGTTTTAGTAAACTGTCAAAACTATCGAAACTGATAACATATCGACTTGCCCGATCCGACAAATACATCCCCCATACAGGACTAAGCGCTGGTCAGTAAGCTCGTTCAAAAAACAAAAAGCTAGCAGCACGTTGATTTCTATATTCCAAGATTTTAATTTTACCAAGTAATGTGTCGTTTCTATCATGAGTTCTGATTGGGTAATGCAAATGAGCCCAAGTGAATCTTATAATCGTTTGAGGGCGTGCGACATGCAGTAAATCATGGTGAAATCTGGTCCTTGGCTGGCGAAAATTAATATATATATATATATATATATTGACAGTGTCAATAAAATGATATATCCGTTGACGTAGTGTAATGGTGTTGAATTTCTACACGTCACCAAAACATATTAAGAAAGTAAACATTTAACATGACGTAATTATGTATCAATGTGAGGTCCAATGTATAAGGTTTGCAAATTTCAAAACCGGGGTGAGCTGGAAGAATTTGAAAATACAAAAATTGTCGAA